GTGTTTTGCTGCTCCCCAGTTAATAAATCTTTCCGCCCAGTCCTAAATACATATCAGATACTTGTGAAATGAAGCAGTTAGATAGGGGCCTGGACTGCATCCATTATGCTAGGGGAAAATGAAGGATTATGAATAATGAAATCAAACTGCAAGAAAACACTCTGCAGAGCTGAGAAGAGCTAGAAGACTTTAGGTTTTACCCTTCTTGGAGCAGTATGTCCAGGAGACTCTCTTTGCCTTGTACAGAGTTCTGCGCTGAGAGAGTTTGTGAAAAGAAGGTCTGAAGCAAACCAGTCAAAGCTGCTGAACTTCTTTTTCTGCATCTCCTCCACCATATAATGTGGCAGAAAAGCAGAAAGCAGAAAAAGAATAATGATCCAAGACATGAGGAAGCCTTTTCATGTTCACCAGCTCTAGAAGAGGTTTGCCTTTAGAGACTTTTCCAGGTCAGATTCTCTGGCACCTTCTCAGAGGGACAAGTATCAAGAAGAGTAGCAATCTGGTCCTAAATGTATTCATGTGGCATTTGAAATCGATTACTTTAGAAGCCAATTATATGTGGAAAGTTAGGTATCTGGAATATCATGTACCAAGAGAGCTCACACTCCTTTATCACTGCACTAGACTATGATTACCTCTTTCTATAAAGTCTAAAAATAATGCCCTCTTTAAAAAACTGCCTTGACGTCACCAGTCAAACCTTAAAAGATAAAATTCTCAGCTGGAATCAATTTCCCATAATGCACATCCTTGATGGAACAAAAGGTCAAGGTGCAACATGGGAAATTAACATGTTTAGGAAACTACAGAGAATTTTGTTTATTTTGACAACTATTCATCACAGAATCATTACAGAATTCCTCTGGGCACATATTAGAATAAGCAGCAACTCATCACACTTCAAGCTAAATACAAAGTCTTTTAGTCTCAGCATTAGTCCTCCTTAAGTGCTTATGTTTAGATAAATAGCTTATGTAGATAGACAGATAGACAGGCAGACAAATGTTTTCCCATGGTTTTATCCTGCAAACTGCTCAACACCTTTATCTCTTACTGACATCAACAAAAATGATATATGCTCAGTATTTACAGGAAACAAATACCTGATGAAGAAATGGTAGCGACTATGGTTTTGTATTAGCAACAGTTGCTTGATTTTAATTTGACTGAAGTTTGGTTGATAAAGGTAAAAGAGTTGATGAAGAAGACTTTTCTAAGGCATTTGTCTTGGTGCTGCATGACATTTTGATTAAGTATCTAGAGTGATACAAAATTAACATGCCATATATTAAGAGGATTAAAACTTAGCTATCTGGCAGGTCTCAAAATATAATTGTAAACAGGTAATCATCATTAGGCAGGTGTGTTTCCAAAAAGGTCCTGAAGGTATTGATTCCTGGCCTTATGCCACTTAAAAGTTTTATCAATGACTTGGAAGAAAACCAGGGACTTAAAGCATCACAGATAAAGTCTGCGACAATTTGAGAAGAGGAAGCAATGAACAAAATAAGTTCATGCTACAGAGTGATCGAGACTATTGCTAAACTGGGTTTAAGCAAACAACTTACATTTCAGTAAAGCCAAGTTTCTAGGAACAAACAGTATCGGCCACAATTGCAGTTTCTGATTTCTAGCCAGGAAGCGGTGGCTAAGTGGATAGGTGAGCTGAATCTGAGCTGTGCCTGTCCATGTCCAAAAGCACTAAGGTAACTCTTAGATGAATTAATAGGAATCGCTTGGTAGGAAAATCACATTGCTTCTCACTGGACAGTCATTGCTTTAACTGGAAGATATGAGTGCCTACAGTAGGCATGCACATTTCAAACTATTTTGGCTGAAAAAGATTTAGCTGGCAATCTGATTTGTTTTTGTTATATAAGCAATCTATTTTAATCCTTTTTAGGGGCATGGTGGCTCTTTCTGAGTCAAATTCACAAGTTCAAGGCTTTTTTTTATGACGATCCCTCATTGCCTTCTGGTAGGAAAGAGGGAACTGGATATGCAAAGGGTCTGGACACTGAGGAATGGCAGATATTGCAATATAGGGAGTGTACTGGCAGAATGGCTGCAAGAGAAGAGGCTGTGAATTTTCTGTCCTTCATACCTGAAAAGTATAACAGGATCTAAAGTCAACAAGTGATTTCTAAGCAAAGAATGGATATTTTTCTAGGCTTTATACTCCAGTTTGGACGAGAATTTATTCAAGGAAGTCATGTAATCTGTATTCTAAAGGAGATCAGAGGAGATCATTATAATGATCTATTCCGTTATTACAATCTGGCCTTAAATATATAAGCATTTTCAAAATAAACCTAGACTGAACATGCAGCAGTAAGATACCCCTATTATTCTTTGACTATTGCTTGGGCTTGAAGAAAATATATGCTGGTTGGTAATGCTGAAATTGTAAGTAGTCTGAATTCAGCAGCGCTGCAATTAATTACGATTTTTTTCTATCTATCTAGTACACATGACAACAGAAAAAGACATACTTTTAAGTCTATTAAAAAACTAAAAAATAAATAAATATAAGAAATAATTAAATAGTCAGATGAATAACAAATTTGCCTGAAATTCCTTATTTTCTTCATTTACGTGATTTTAACTTTTTTTTAACCTTGCTTTTGCACCAACTTCTCCCTATCTATCAAACTGTGGGATAACTCCAAGCAAGCACTGCTGCGGTCACCGCTAGGCTCATTACAATATTCCTTTTGTGAAGGGACAGTTGCAGTATTCTTTATACTTGTATAGGCTCATGGAATAATTGAAATAGCATGGCAACGTTCATTATTTGCAAAGACATTTCACAAGACTGTAATGATGATCACTGTATCCAAATATCCTGTTAGTGTAGCCATTTTCAGTGAAAGACAAATCCTTATAGGTTAGATCCATTCTGAAAAACAACTTTCCATCTACATAGTTTTATGCTCCTAATTCATACTGTGAAACATTTTTCATCTATTTAGGTCAATAACAACTTTTAGTCAATAAAAAAGGAGTAATTCCATTACAAAAGCCTGAAAAATACCCACAATATTCTGTGTGGCAAAAATACTGTGTCTATTTCACTAGCAGTGCTTTCCTCATAGAACTCCTTCTCAGCCCACCCTCTTCAAGACTTCTCTTATTATTTGATACAGACTAATTGTCCTCGCTTTTGAGGTTTTTTGTGGTTTACATCATCTCAGCTCTGGAGCTAATGTGTGACCATATAATTTAATCCTCTCATAATGCAAAGACACAAGGGTGGATGGGCAGACAAAGGTGAACAAAGAAAGAAATTAATTAAACAGGTAGTCTTAAATCTGACATTTCCTAATCTCTGAATTCTTAATTTGCACTCTTAACTCTTTTAGCCTTCATTTTTATGTCTACCACTTCCTTTTTTAAAAAATAAATAGAAAAAAGCAGAAAGTCCATCAAGTAAAGCGTATCAGCTCTGTCAGTGGTCATTAGCAAGGCTGAGTTTTGTAACTCCACCTCAGATGTCTGCCACAGCAGCTATGAAACTCTGGTTTGATGGCCTTCTCCCTCTACCCTCAGTCTCTCGCTTGAGCCATTTCCTCCCTCCCCTTCCAAACTCTCCTTTCTTCCCTCTCTTGCTAGCCTCCTCTGCATAGCTTCACCTCCTTGGGCAGCTCATTTAGTACAGACCTTCCTTTATTTATCAGTCTCTTCTATCAAGTTTCTTTACTTAGTCATTGCTCTCCAGTCCTTGGTCCCCAGTTCCTTGTCCCCTCCCACCTTGATTTCTACTCCTACCCTCTTTGCCCAGTCAGTCCCATTTCTCCTTCTTCCCCAAGCTCCATCCCTGGTGTCATTCTTCCCTCTATTTGCCAGCTGGCTCTTATCACTCTCCTGGCCCATACAATCCCAGTCATAATTTCTTTTATTTGCTCTTCCTAAATCCCCAGTCTCAACAGAGTCCTCCTTCCATTTCCTCCTTGGGAATTGCCTGGCCTGTTTTTTGTCTTTTTTTCCATTCCTGTCAGGAGAAATTGAGTCCCTAAGGAATTAGGCTGACTTTCTATAACAGCTGAAAAGAGGGTCTGACAAGAAGAACACTAAAAGTCTAGAAAACGTACCAGCAGTCCTAACTGCAATAAAAATATACGTGTAGGGGAATGAAAGGGAATGGAGAAGCAAAAGGATGTTGTAAACAATAAAGTCGAATCTAACACCTAAGGAACCAAACTTGGAATGGACATGCCAGGACCTACTTCTGCCTCCGACACAGCCTTCATACAGCCTTATCTAAGTCCCTTGGAGCTAGATTCACTAAAAGACACTGATACTCTGATGTACAGTACATCAATGCTGACCTGTTAGGTCCTTGGTCCCTAGAGCCTGTAACTTTGTGTTAGGCAGTTAGGCACCATTAGGAGAGGCAGAATGGAAAGACATGGACAACCTGAATTTCAGAAATACCAAGTATTCAAAAATTCAAGTTGCCTTTCAAAATTTAAGGCTATTTTCTCAATTTATCTGTATGTTAATTTTAGTACTGACCAAATAGGAACTGTGACCATCTTCTGACTGCTACAAAAGCACACATTACTTGCATTTTCTCAAGATCCCTCTACAGAAACAGTTCTGTGAGTACAAAGCACAACTATAATTATGAATGAGAAACATACTTTTAAAAGATACCAAAAGGCCGCAAAAACAGACAGTTCATATTATGAGTAGCTGTAAATATCAGTCCCTTAGTCAGACTGTTTGTCTCTCTGATGTTTTAGAGAGCCTGTTTACTGCTGTAGTCCAAAGCTGAAAAGCTGTGGCAGATAGCAGATGTACCAATTAATAACCTGTCAAGGCTGATGGATAGAATGAAAAAAAAAAATCTCATGTATATCTCCCATGTGCTTTTTTCCCACTTTTCAGGTCACCGGGGGTCATGAGACACACACTGCCTCCCTGGAGAGAGACGAGACTGTCTCATTAGCGTCTATCTTTCATGGCATTACGATGCTGTCTTTGAGATGCTAACTCACCTGCTCTTCTCCCAGAATCCTGAAGTGATGAAGCTCTTTAATCAAGGAGTCTGGACAGCCAGCTGTTGGGAAGAAACAAAACCAGGCATTTTAGAGCTCCCCGTCAGTGCTGTTCCACTATCAGTATCAGATACATAGATGTAGAGAGGATAGAATATACAGATTACATTAGATAAAGAAGATTAGAAAGATTAGCCATGGCTCTGCAGGCATCAGGATGCTGAAAATCATCTATCATATAATCCTTCCACATTTCTGAACCTACTACCAAGAACACTTACAAAGGTTATGTTTTGTATATTTTAGCCTTTTTCCCAAGGGACTGCAAACCAAAAGAAAGATGAAAATCGCAGCACTGTCTGCTAGCAACCGCCAGCCTTTTAGTGTAAGCCAACAAGCTTGTTAAAAGAGGATCTCGCATCAAAACCTTGGAGCTACCCAAAGCTGAATTCTGATTCACACACCAGGTTTTGGACTCATTTCTAAGTGTAATACAGGTTTTCCTTGGTTCCCTGAAGGACTTCACAGACTCTGCAGGCCTCACAGATCACTCTACTTTTGGCTATCACAAACATAATACACTGCACAAATAAGTAGTTGATACCCATTGATGTAAAACACAAACCAACTACACAGGCAGAGGAGAGATGTGCCAAACTTTGTACTCAGATTAGGGTTTGATTGTTACAGACGTTCACATCTCTACAGACCACCAAGAAAAAATATATTTCTCTTGATGCCATACAGTTTACTGATCTGTTCAAACTGTGATTACCTTCCGAGTGATGAAATTCAAGGGTACTACTCACTTCTGCAGACTGCTAGACTCATTTCTGGCAAGGGATAAAAGTGCAGATCTGTGAAAGCAATCTGGGCTTTATTTCTGTAACTATAATTTGAAGAATCTGCTTGTGAACACATAAAAAGAAGAGAATCACAGAATCACAGAATGGTTGAGGTTGGAAGGGACCTCTGGAGATTATTTAGTTCAAACTCCCAGTTCGAGCATGGTTAGCTAGAGCACATTGCCCAGGATTGTGTCCAGATGACTTTTGAGTTTGTCCAGGGAAGGAGGCTCCACAACCTCTCTGGGCAACCTGTTCCAGTGCTCTGTCACCCTCACACGAAAGAAGCTTTTCCTCATGTTCACATGGAACTTCCTGTGTTTCAGTTTAAGGCTTGTTGCCTCTTGTCCTGTCGCTGGGCACTATGGAGAAGAGACTGGCTCCATCCTCTCGACATCCTCCCTTCAGATGCTTGTAGACATTGATGAGATTGCCTCTCAGCCTTCTCTTCTCCAGGCTGAACAGCCCCAGCTCCCTCCGCCTTTCTTCATAGGAGAGATGCTCCAGTCCCTTAACCATCTTGGTAGCCCTCTGCCCTATGTCTTTCTTGCACCGGGGAGCCCAAAACTGGGGACCTCGCTAGCTACAGGCCTCCAACTAGACTCTGCATCACTGACCACAACCCTCTGAGCCCTGCCATTCAGCCAGTTCTCAATCCACCTCACCGTCCACTCATCCAGCCCCCACTTCCTGAGTTTACCTGTGAGGATGTGAGGGGAGACAGTGTCCAAAGCCTTGCAGAAGTGCAGGCAGACAACATCCACTGCTTTCCCGTTACCTATCCAGCCAATTGTCCCATCAGAGAAGGCCATCAGGTTGGTCAAGCATGATTTCCCTTTGGCGAATCCATGCTGACTACTCCTGATCACCTTCTTGTCCTCCACATGCTTAGAGATGACCTCCAGGATGACTGTTTTCCATCACCTTTCCAGGGCTGGAGGTGAGGCTGAGAGGCCTGTAGTTTCCTGGCTCCTCCTTCTTGCCCTGTTTGAAGACTGGGGAGACACTGGCTTTCTTCCAGTCCTCAGGCACCTCTCCTGTTCTCCAGGACCTTTCAAAGATGACGGAGAGTGGCCTAGCAATAACATCCGCCAGCTCCCTGAGTACTTGTGGGTGCATCCCATCGGGGCCCAAGGATTTGTGAATGTCAAGTTTGCACAAATGATCTCAGACCCAATCCTCCCCAACCAAGGGAGAGTCTTCCTTCCTCCAGACTTTCTGTCTTATCTCCAGGGTCTGGAATTCCCAAGGGCTGGCCTTAGCAGTGAAGACTGAAGCAATGAAGGTGTTCAGCAACTCTGCCTTCTCTGTATTCTTCATTACCAGGGCACCCACCCCATTCAGCAGCAGGCCCACATTTTCCCTTCTTTTCTTCCTTTTGCTTCCTTTCCCTTCTTGTTATTCTTGACATCCCTTGCCAGATTTAGTTCCAAATGGGCCTTAGCCTTCCTTGTCGCATCCCTGCATACTCTAACAATATCCTTCTATTCCTCCCAATTGGCCTATCCCCTTCTCCACATTCTGTATACTTATTTCTTCTTTTGGAGTTTTGCAACTGAGAGAATACTGCTCTAAAGAAGGAATTAAAAACATAGTTTTCCCCAGAACATGGGATGAACTAAGATTTTTATCAACCTGCTTTTCTGCTAACACAATTATGAAAAAGTTCTCTTATACAGTTAATGTTACTATTAAAAGGATGTAAATGAATTTGGAGATGGTTGTCCCCATGAGCAGAGTGACTCCACTTAAAGGCAAACAGAGGCATGGCTTATACTCACAACTTTTGTTGGCATAGTTGTGTTAGCAGTACGAAAGAAGGTGCCCTGATACCTGCAAGCTGCATAACTGAAAAGGCAAAATCCCTGCTATACACACATGGACACAATTATATTCTCTGTGTTTTAGGTCAGAACACATCGCATAAAACATAGTTCCTCTTTCTTATGCTCAGGACCTTATGTAATGATTAATTTTTCTTTCCTTATGCCATTTTCACTGAAAAATTCTGCATTGATTGTACATTGCTATAGGAATTTCTAAGCACAGAGGATAATTATGATTTCATGTAATACCGTGTGTTAATCTTTGACAGATGTTAACTTCTTAACAACAGCTAAACTGCTTCTTGCCTCCCTCTGCTTTTCACAGTCTTTACAGTTTCTTCCTCCTCCACTCATTTCTTTCTTCTATATCCCTTAATGCAGGGATGTATTCCTTTTCTTGCATAGCAAGAACCCTTTCTCTTTTTGTCCTCTCTGAAACTATATTTCCCTAATGCCTATTTCTCCCAGAAATCCATCCCATTTTGCTTTTTTCATATCAAATGTGTATGATCTTCCTTATGCGAACTGTTCGTATGCATCCTCTTTCTCGCTCATGTAAGAGACTATAGACACCCTGGAATCAATGATTCTTTTTTTTTAAAAAAATTAAAAGTATGATGCTATATATTCATGTTTATTATTAGTGTTACTAGATGTCCGGTAATATCCCCAACAGAATATTTTCTGTAGCCTGTTTTCCAGAGACTTCCCTAATCAAGCTCTCAGTCTTTTCATACTCTAGATTTTCACTGGAACTTGAAAGCTGATTATGTAAGAGATCCTGAAGTTGCTAGTGAAGCAAAGAAAAGAGGAAGCATAAAAATGATGTCTCTGTTATCAAATGACTGTCCAGCAACAATCACCTTAGAAATGCTAAATATATGCAGTATCTTTATATCGAAATAGTGTGCTCTTTGTAAGAAGTTCTTTCGGTCCCTTCAGTCCTTCACACTGCAGAAGCAAATTGATCAAACAATTATTTTAGGAAAAATAGAGGAACAATGAAGAAATATGGAAAAAAATAAATGGAGTATGATCAAAATATCTTTCTCTCTCTTTGGATGTACTTATTATATTTCCTATGTCTACTTTAATTTCTTCTGTTCTCTAAGCAGAGCTTTGTAAAACACATTCTAACACTGTGACCTATTTTTACCAATTATCTGGTGGCTTTAAAAAGCCCTGGGTGATGTCAAATTCCTACACTGTGACTAAAGACAAAAGTTGTAGACAAGTAACCATTCTGTAGGCAAAAATAAAAGAGATCAAAAAATACCTATTCTGCTGAAAAGCATTAAGAATGATTTGTCAAACACGCATATATTTGCCAACATATGCATTTATATGCAAACACATACAGAGATTTGAAAACTATAACAAGTTAAGCACAGAACCCACTGGGTTCATGGGCAAATTTTGCATACAAAAGTGTAAAAGAAAAAACGTATGTATAAGTGTTTGATGCACAACTAGCACTAATTATTATGCTCTCTGTAACTCAGAAACCCTTATATTCAATAGCCCTAACAATTACTAGTTTTCATTTTCCCCTTCTTACTCAAATACTGCTTGAAAAAACAAAGGCTTACATAAAATTTCCACACACATACACCAAAATATAGCAATATTTACATAAATAAATCAATAAAAATTAAACACTATAGGAATAAAAGGCAATGATGCAAAGGCATGAACAATTGCCTTTAATCAGAAGTCAAAACTCTGGATTGAAGACATCTGCAGGCTGATATAATGACAGCTAAAGCATTTGTTAGTTCTTTCTTTCAGCTGAAATTCAAATCTATGTGTTTCATATGTTCTTGGCTGCAGTGACTGTTACAGGTTTTTGCCTGCTGTGGAGGCAGAATGAGACATAATGAGTATGAAATTGGTGCAAATCTTTAAGTTTTTTATACCACTTTTTCTCTGACGTAACTCTATCGACCTCAAAGGACTAAGAGCTATAAAACTAGTGAGATGGCACAGGAAAGAAGAGAATAGTCTAATGATACCAAGTTCAAAGCATCAGTAGCTTTAAAAACTCACTGCTTTGTTTCCGTTTTAAATTTTCTATCACATCCCAGATTATTTGTTCTAGTAATTTCCTTTGTCGCTTGAGTCTCACTTTGCATTATTAATTTACTCCAAATGCTAATGTACAAAAGCTACACTTATGAATGAAATGTACATTTAAAATTACAGAAATTTACAACTGCAAGGCCTTATCATTGTGGCATTCTCTTCACAAAGATATTATTAACTTGTTCACATAAGGAGCCACAACTCCAAAAGAGAAGTAAAAAAGCAAAATTTAAGAAGGATATATCAAAAAGTAATGTCTCCTGACATCATAAATCCTCTGATTAGAATTGCTCTGAACATACATTTTCA